CTAGCACATAGTCAGGACTGTGGTGATGAGTTCGCCGACCTTACACCTTCGGGTCATGGGCAAAGAGGAGTAGGAGGGGCTCGATTTAAACATCTCGAAGCAAGTTCATGAGTCTGTGATATCATCCGGAGGAATCGTTAATGCTGGTCTGCCCCCATTAACGCAATGAAAAAAATGTCTTTTGCCGAAACAATGCGAACTAATTTGTGATGTAGATGAAGTGGCCAAGAGATGTGTGCACGCGCGTAATGGTTGAATCCCAGATTGGGCAAAGCAGAGTTTCGAGCGCTGCTGCGGATTTTTTCTACGCCAGAGCGGATCCGCGTCATTCTTTTTGGTCGCATCTTGGGACAAATGACTAGTAGGCAAATTTGTTTCGTTTAGAAGAAAATCACTTTCTCTAATCAAAAAACAGACAGGGACTCAAGTATTTGGCTGCATTTATAGTGGCCATGGCCACGTGCCCAGATCTCGAGTTCGAACGATAATGACAGCAAGCTAGAGATTTGGCCAGCTACGGGTCATGGCGGCCGCTAGCGAGCTCGAGCGGCCATGGCGGTAGCTATTGCCAATTTCTAGTGAAGATCAGATTGCGTGAGCATATGTCTAGCCCAAATAATGTGTTTCAAGGATAATTGTCCAAAATGTTTTGAATTTACCGTACGGTGATCAACTCAATCCTAAATTTTTCAATTTTATCAAATTAATCTTTAATCTTTTGATGATTTTTCAATATAGTCTTTCTAACCAATTTTGGCCGAAAATCATTGACGTTGCAATCCAGTCAGTGTCGGCCGCTTTACGTGGCACGGCTAGCACTGACATAAATGATTTTTTCAATTTTTTTCTCCTTTTTTCCTTCCCTTTCCTTTTTTTTTTTTTCCCATTTCCCTTCACCAGGCATCACCGAGGCCCCAGCAACCGGTGGATAATGAAAAGGAAAGAAAAGAAAAAAGAAAAAATTCAAAATATATAAGAAAATTTGCAAAAATTATCCATTTATTTGACCATGCCACATAGGACGGTTAGTGCTGACTGGACTGTCACATCAGAAGATTCCAGCCAAAATTGGCCAAAATGACTATATTGATAAATCGTCAAAAGACTTAGGACTAAATTGACCAATTTGAAATTGGCCAAATTGAAAAGTTGAGAACTAAATTGGCCACCGTATAATAGGTTTAAATTTTTTTTGACAACTTCCCCTGTGTTTTGCCATGGCCATAGTGTGGGCAAGTTCTCTCTCTCATTTTCGTTTCTAATTTTTATGTTGCATAACGTGGCTTCATAACAAATTTAAATAAATCATAACACGACACGAGTTCTCCAACGCCTTAATCAACCGACGACCTACGTCAACAAAAATCGAACGGCAAGAGAAAGAGTATAACGAAAGGACTAACGTGAAATATTTAAAAAAGTAGAGAGACATTTTTGAAAAAAAAAAACAAGTAGAGAGACTATTTTTTAATCAAAAAGGGCTAAAACCCAATACAAAAATTTAACAGCGTACATTTACTATGCTTATTTTATCACTTAATAAAACATTAAATAACTTTTGTCAAAAAAAAATATGAAATAACTCTGAAGAAGGTAATGAAAAGAAACTAGTATCCAAGCGCTTATCGATTCCAAGATTAGTAAGCCAATCAGCAGAGCGATTTTCTTCTCAAAAATTATCTTGCACTTTAAACTAAAAGTGAAAACACAACAATCTTCTCTTATCTTTAAGGCATCATATATTTCCGGGAAAATTCTAAATAAGGACCTAAAGTGTCTTTACTTTCTCAAATAAGGATCTGAAGTGGACTTTGTGTCAAATAAGGACCTGAAGTACCCTTATTTTTTCAAATAAGGGCCTGAAGTGGCTATTTCTATTTCAAATAAGGGTCTAACTTTCTGAATGGTTAAGGCATTTACGTCTTTTAACTTTTTTTGAATTCTTTTCCTGTCTTTTCTTTTTTTCCTTTTTTTCTTTTTTCTTTTTTCTTTTTCTGGTTTCTCTTTGTGCTTCCCAGTGGCCGGGCAGCCGGCCACCGGCGAAGCCAGGGGAGGGTTGGGCAAGGGTGGCCTCGCCGGCAACAGGCGAGGGACGACCTCGCCTGGGCGAGGGCCACCCTCGCCGGCAACGGGCAAGGGTCGCCTCGCCGAATCTCGGTGAGGCGACCCTTGCCCTGGGCGAGGCCGCCCTCTAAAGTCACAAGCAATGGCTGGCCTCACCTAGGCGACGGGTGGCCGACAAGACCCTCGCCCATAGGGGTGTCAAAACTGAACCGTATACCCGAACCAAAACACGAATCGACCCAAACCAGCTCGAAATTTTATGTTATTTTCAGTTCGGGTCTCATTATGTTCGGGTAATAGTTATAAAATAGGTATTGTAATGTGTTTCTGTTCAATTCGGATCATAACACGTACCGAACCGAAACACGTCTTTACCAAAAACATACTTCGTCTTCGCCACTCCGCGAGTTGAATCGAAGAGACAGTCCTGGAGTCCAAAGAGTTGCCCACAACGTTAAACTGTCTTTTTTTCACGTGTCTCTCTCTCATCTTCTGGAGACTTTGTGAAGACTCTAGCAACCTACACTCTGTCTAGTCTCCCCCCAAACTCTCGCACTCCGCAAAGCATACTCTCTCTCTAGTACCTAGTACCCAGCAGCTGGTCCTGCCGATAAGCCTCCACATCCCTCCATGCAGTTCAAAATTCAAAATAAGTGACCTTCCACTTCTCTATCTCTTTCTCTTCGTTCTCCAAGAACACAGAAGCCAAGCACAGGGACATAAACATTTTCAGTTTTAGTGACGGGGGATTGGGGACCGGTGGTGCTATCGGTGCTGCTCAGCCCGGGGCTACTATTCTAGATCCCGGGACGCCACCGAGCAGTCGAGTTCGGCAACATGCAGACCAGCGGTGCCTTCGTCATCATCCACACCATCATCTTCTTCGACCTCATCACCATCTTTAAACAGGGAAAAGGGAACAAAATTGAAACTTTAGCGGTCACCAACCTTGGTCGATCTTGGGTTCTTCCAGATCTGCTACCCTCCCCCCCACTCCCTCCTCTCCATCATCGAGCCAAGGCTGAAGCCCAGGCCGAGGCTAAGTCCCCCGGCATAGAAGGAGGAGTCGATTGAGGCGCGTGAGGAGAGAGTGATGGTGGACAAACTTGGGGAAGAAAGACCAAAAAAGGGGGACAATCTCTTTCGCCAGACATCTCTCATGATCTTCTTCTTTTTCTAAAATAGGAAATCGAGCCTGATTGTGCCCTAGAGGCTAGAAATGTAGATGCAAAAAAAAACAAAATAAAAATCTGAAATCCAATCCAGACCGACCCGACCCGACCCGATGTTTCAGCTCGAGTTATATGAGATTCGGGTAGTGTTTGGGTCAGCGAGAACACACATCTCCTATGGGTCGGGTCGGGTTAGGTAGCACGAAAACTCGACCCGACCCGATCGTTGACACTCCTACTCGCCCAAGCAAGGTCGGGCCTCGCCGATGGCTTTTGAGGGCAGCCTCGCCAAAGGCATGGGTCGCCTCACCGAGGCGAGACTGCCCTCACCTAGATCCGGTGAGGCCATCCCTCGCCGGCAGCTGGCAAGGGCCGGCCTCAGCTGGGCGAGGGTTGCCCTCACCAGATTGGGCAAGGGTGACCCTCACCCAGCCCTTCCCGAGCTTCGCCGGTGGCCAGGCAACCGGTCACTGGCAAAACAAAGAGAAGATCAGAAAAGGAAAAAAAGAAAGGAAAGGAAAAAAAAAAAAAAAAGGAAAAATAAAAAATAAAATTATTTAAAATTAAAATTATTTTTAGACGAAAATGCCCTTGACCTCACCGTTCGCCAGCCAGAATATTTCGCCGTCCGGTGACCGGCGAAGCCAAGCCCTTATTTGAAACTCTCATGGTCACTTCAGGCCCTTATTTGAGACTGGCATGCCACTTCATGTCGTTATTTAACACAAAGTCAACTTCAAGCCCTTATTTTAGAAAATGATGACACTTCAAGTCTTTATTTGGAATTTTCCCTATATTTCGTATTTTGATTTTCGGACAAAAATACAGGATGGTCAAATATTTCACTCACATCTATTTTCCTATAAAAAATGTAGATGCAAAAAAAAACAAAATAAAAATCTGAAATCCAATCCAGACCGACCCGACCCGACCCGATGTTTCAGCTCGAGTTATATGAGATTCGGGTAGTGTTTGGGTCAGCGAGAACACACATCTCCTATGGGTCGGGTCGGGTTAGGTAGCACGAAAACTCGACCCGACCCGATCGTTGACACTCCTACTCGCCCAAGCAAGGTCGGGCCTCGCCGATGGCTTTTGAGGGCAGCCTCGCCAAAGGCATGGGTCGCCTCACCGAGGCGAGACTGCCCTCACCTAGATCCGGTGAGGCCATCCCTCGCCGGCAGCTGGCAAGGGCCGGCCTCAGCTGGGCGAGGGTTGCCCTCACCAGATTGGGCAAGGGTGACCCTCACCCAGCCCTTCCCGAAGCTTCGCGGTGGCCAGGCAACCTGGCCACCGGCAAAACAAAGAGAAGATCAGAAAAGGAAAAAAAGAAAGGAAAGGAAAAAAAAAAAAAAAAGGAAAAATAAAAAATAAAATTATTTAAAATTAAAATTATTTTTAGACGAAAATGCCCTTGACCTCACCTGTTCGCAAGCCGGAATATTTCGCCGTCCGGTGGCGGCCAAGCCCTTATTTGAAACTCTCATGGTCACCAGCCCTTATTTGAGGCCCGCATGCCACTTCACGTCGTTATTTAACACAAAGTCAACTTCAGTTCCCTTATTTTAGAAAATGATGACACTTCAAGTCTTTATTTGGAATTTTCCCTATATTTCGTATTTTGATTTTCGGACAAAAATACAGGATGGTCAAATATTTCACTCACATCTATTTTCCTATAAAAAAAATCCCACTTGCCGCCGCAGCGCCGTCCCCCCCCCCCCCCCCCCCCGGGCGCCACCACCTCTATAAATTATCTTGCACTTCCATTGAAGAAGAAGAACTTGCTGAGGCATTGATTCTCACCCACCTTCACCAACCTTCCACCCCCAGCTCTTCTTCTTCTTCTTCTTCTTCTTCTTCAGTTAGTCTCCTTTCCTCTGACACTATCAATGGCGCGACTCACATTGTTGGTTACTCTGTTATCCTTCCTAGTCCCTCCTCAGTTGGTACCAGGTCATTGCCAACTCGGAGCAAGTTCTGAGCTCCCACTTCGTATTTGCTCTTTGGTTTTTCTCTCGAGCTGATCAAGATTGTGTTTCTTTTTTCCAACCTGCAGGTGTCTACTCCACGACTTTCACGCTCGTCAACAAGTGCGACCACACGGTGTGGCCCGGCATCCTCTCCAACGGCGGCGAGCAACCCTTCTCCTCCACCGGCTTCGCCCTCGACAGCGGCGCCTCCAAGTCCCTCGCCGCCCCCGCCGCCTGGGGCGGCCGCTTCTGGGGCCGCACCCACTGCTCCGAAGACTCCACCGGGAAGTTCTCCTGCCTCACCGGCGACTGCGGCTCCGGCAAGCTCGAGTGCTCCGGCAGCGGCGCCGCCCCGCCGGCCACCCTCGCCGAGTTCAAGCTCGACGGCTACGGCGGCATGGACTTCTTCGACGTCAGCCTCGTGGACGGCTACAACCTCCCGCTGCTGGTGGCCCCGCAGGGGGGGTCGGGCCAGAACTGCACCACCACGGGGTGCGTCGTCGACCTGAACGCCGCCTGCCCGTCGGAGCTGAAGGTGACGAGCAGCGACGGGTCGGAGGGGGTGGCGTGCAAGAGCGCGTGCGAGGCGTTCCAGCAGCCGCAGTATTGCTGCAGCGGCGCCTACAGCACGCCGCAGACGTGCAAGCCCTCCTCCTACTCGGAGCTGTTCAAGAGCGCCTGCCCGCGCGCCTACAGCTACGCGTACGACGACGGCACCAGCACCTTCACCTGCGCCGACGCCGACTACGTCATCACCTTCTGCCCGTCTCCCAACACCAGGTGAGCTCACCGAGATCTCTCTCTTCACTGTTCAGCTTTTGCAGCTCGGACGTTCGAGCGCAATTTTGTCATTATCGAAAAGTCCGGGTCCGGTCCCCCATGTGAACGTTGCGGAGGGGTAATGCGATTGTCCCCCCATGTGACATGACTGGCCAGAGTTTGTGCGCTTTCAGACAAACTTAGTTTTGCCTGAGCCCTACACGCATATATCTCAACATTAATTTATTAAATATGTATATCGAAAGTTTTAAAATTTATAACGAAATTATAATTAAATTTTAAAATTTTTAAAAGATTACAATCAAATTTTAAAACTTTCAATAAATATAATTAAGTTTTAAAATTTGTCAAGTTGATACAATCAAATCTTTTATGAACTCCGTTCAACTTGACAGACGAAAAATGCTAATAAGTTTTAAGACTTGATTATACTTTTTCAAAATTTTAGAACTCAATTGCACTTTGTAGGTCTTTTAATATATTTATCCCAATTTATTATTATCCGATGTTTCTCGCCTTAATTTTTGCCTATGTTGGCTAGGGACATACAATTTGTAAATAATATTCCCACCAGCTTAGTTGCGAACGTAACTGAAACCGGGTCAGTTGAATTTCAACTCTACGGGAGTCCTACCTTTGAAAACTCAGCCGAGAATTGAATAAGAAGTCCTTTTCCTTCCTAAAATGAATTATTACATAGAAAAAGTATATCGCTCTTTTTAATGTATTTTCCCAAGCAACCCAGTTGATAAAATAATGATTCATTAATGAGTTTAAGGTCCCCCACTCTCCCACACATGTTGGCTGTGTGGGATACCATTGCATCGAATGGCTCAACAAGAGCACGAGATATAGCTCGCAAATGCACGACGGCCCTTCGATCTTTTCACCGTTCCCTAGTTCTGGAGATCCGGGTCCATTTCCCTCTTTTCGATGGCGGCCCCCGCACATGGGCTGAAGCCGACCGTTCCCCCCCCTCTCCTCCTCCTCAACGGTCGTTGGCGGCGGCCGACTGACCGGTGCCGTCCAGACTGTCTGCATTGAATCGCGAGCCCCCATTCTTTTACTTTTCGTTTAAACTAACGGTAACGTTTGTTCTTGGGAAAACGTGCAGCCAGAAATCGTCGTCGTCGTCTTCCGCCTCATCGGACCAGGCAACGCCGGCCGCCTCGGACTCTTTCAACAACAACACGATGGTGTACGAGGGCGTGGAGGAAACGAGCGGCGCGGCGGCCAGCCACGCGGTGGCGGGGCTGGTCGGCGTCGGGGTGGCAGTTTGGCAGCTGTGGCAGCTCTCCTGAAGTATTCCGCAACTACTTTCTTCTTAGACGACTAACCTTTTAGTTTAGGATCAATATTAATTAGGCCCATTTAGCTTCGTAGTTACTTTCACATGCACACCCAAGGACTAACCTTTTAGTTTAGGATTAATATTAAGTAGGCCCATTTAGCTTCGGAGTTACATTCACATGCACACCCATCTATACTTTTTGGCGTGGGTCCCCAAATCGGGCGGATCTTGGACCCACAGTTTATGATCTGATCCGGCACGAATCTAGAACGAGATCACCGGCATTGGCCCCACGCGCATCTGGCCACCGTCATGTGGAGCTGAGTCACCCATGACAAAGAGATCGACCGGCCAAAAACCGAATTGGACCATGGCCAAGGCCGGCTGGTCACGTTTCATCATGCCGGATGATGGGTTGTTGTCATAATCAGAGCAAACACAGCTTGCGTTAGGTTGGTTTTTGGGGGGGATTCATTATTGCGAGACGAGTGCTTTTTTCGCGCTATTCTTTGTATTCTTTAGATGGGAAAAATTTGAGGGGGTGTCGTTGAAATTTGTTCTGGAAGGTGGGGGATTCTTTGTAGAATGTGGCCTGTGCATCATTTGGTGCCAAAATTTATAAGGGGCGGTGCTATTTGATTAAACATTATATCTATTCGCTTGGAGAATATGAACATCTGATTTTGTCGGATGAGCAAAGTTGTCCGATCCGTTATCCTCGGGGACGAGGCTTCTACGTGGTTCCTCGAAGAATCTCTCAATCAGTAGTCGAACTATGTTTTATCCAAGTGCATATGGGTAGGACGTGCCACGCATATTGCTTGTATCTAGAGCTAATATATTTCTTGATGGGTGATGATGCGAGCTTATCTGGATCTAATATTACATTACATTCAAAGGTTTAGGAGTCATTTTACTTTGCTAGAGTGCACGCATGATTTGGGAGGTCAAGGGGATGACCATTTTTGGATTGGATGTATCTAGCGCAACATGACTTTCGAGAAACAATTACCAAAAGAAAAAGATAATTGTTAGAAAAAGTCATATTATTGTACATATGCCAATTCAATTTTAAACTTTCCAATATAGTCATTCTGGCAAATTTTGGCCGAAAATCGCCAATGTAAATACCGGCAATCCTATGTGGCACGGCAAGCGCTAACATGGACAAGTTTTTGCAATTTTTTTTTTAAAATTTCTCAAATTGTTTTCTTTTTTTTTCCTTTTCCTTTTTTTTCATTTTCTTTTCCTTTTACCTATGGCCAGTACTCGACAATGGTCGACAACCGGCCACAGGCCAGGGTTGCTCTTGCTAGATCTAGGCGAGGGGTGGCTTGCGAGGCCACCCTTCACAGGTGGCTGGTCACTTGCTGTACCTAAGATTGGCCACAAGCAAAAAGGAAAAGAAAAGAAAAGAATAAAAAAATTAAAAAATCATATAATTTTTAAAAAATTACAAAAATTATCTAACGTCAGCACTAGTCGTATCATGTTGAACGGACAGCATCCAAGTTTTCCGGCTAAAATTAGCCGGAATGACTATATTGATAAATTATCAAAATGTTTATAACTAAATTAGTCAAATTGAAAATTTATGATTGAATAAGTTTATGATTTTTTTGATAATTTTCTCTCCGTTCCGATTATGGAAAAACTTGTCCAGAGAGAAATTCAAACGTCCCATCTATTATATCATGGGTGTATTACTGCCCGCCCCAGTATCTAAACAAGGCCCCAAATCGTATATGACAATTGTTGCTAGTCAAAGGGTAAATAGTATTCGTGCCGAGTGGCGGTTTCAGGTCATAATCTGCTTGGAGAAAAGAAAACCATTCCACGGCATTTGACTTTCGAACTTGGTTTAGAAAAATAAATCCAGCCATCACGTATGCTGGCGAAAGATAACTCATTTCGGGCACCAACCATATGTCATCTCACCAAACTAGAGAAATTCCCTGCATCCGTGCTATTCCCCATGGAATGACCACTCCATTTCTACCTAGATCTGTTAAATGGGCCTTGAACCTATATATGATCCATTTAAAAATAAATAGATTATATATAGATCACTATAACTTTAAAAAGTCCATCTTAAATAGATCTTAAAGTTTTAAGCCTATCATAAATAAGTCTTAATAGATTGACTATGAGACTCATGTCCAACCCACCCATTAAGCCCACACACACTTTCCCCCTTTTTATAAAAATATTTTTTTTAAAATCGAAATTATTTTTATTTTTCTTCTCTTTTCTTTTCTTTTTATTTTTTTTTGTTTCCTTTCTTTTTGGCCGGTGGCTAGCCATGGCGACGGTCGGCGGCCGGCCACCGACCACGGGCAAGCTCGACCTCGCCGGATCAGCGCCTTGCCCAAGGCTGGCAAGACTCGAGCTCGCCGGCCTCAGGCGAGCCTCGAGCTCACCCAATTCCGGTGAGCCGAGCCGAGCCGAGCCAGCCTCGGGCGAGGCTCCACCTCGCCAGATCAGACGAGCTCGAGTCTCACCATATCTACGAGGCCTCGAGCGAGCTTGGCCTCGTCGGCCTTAGGCGAGGCTCCAGCATCGCCGATCTGGTGAGCCTCAACCTCGCCTCCCTCGGGCGAGCTCAACCTCATTCTACAGGCTCAAAGAGAGAGGGGCCCGTGACATGATGATGTGTTGACACGAAGCGTGGTTTGTTGCATGCACATGGCTTTGCTTGTTCCTTCACTCCCACGTTTTTGCATGCGTCGGTGTCTATGTGCGTGTCCACTTCTCGATCCATTTGCACGATAGGAACGAACATGGCTTGTTCAGGACGACCACGAGACGAACGTGCTTCTCTTTTCCCTTGGTTCTCTCTCTCTCTCTCTCTCTGGTAATAATACGAAGGACGCATGTTATGACACCCAAACGTTGTCCCAAGAAACCTCGTTTCATTTCTCTTTTTCCTCTTTGGTGTTTTCCCCTTGGGAGCAAGCCAATCAATTTAAGCAGTGCACCTCGTTGTTTATCCTACTTTGAATAGGTTCACTCCATCAAAGAGATTTATTTTACATATTTGCTGAAGTATGTGATGAGAGAATTAGATCCTTCCTTGAAGGAAGTGGTTGATGGTCAGGTCAAGCAAAGGGTGCTTTATCACGTTTCTTTCATTGAAAACATGGGATGTTGAATAATGTTATTTGATTTCATAGCACATCGAACGCTTAAAAGTCCGGTGCTTTGTGTCAATGGATGAGGTTATTGGACTGATTTGGTCACTGATTATGACATCTTAATATATTCTGTATGGTCTATTTTCGAGTGAGATCCTTCTGCACGTATTTGACCCTTTTGAAGGGGCCAAAAAAAATAAAAGAGAATCAGCGTTTAGCATTTTTCATCTAATATACTATCACGGGAGTGCTGTTCATCGGTTGACCTAACATGACAATTCCGTTACGGCTCCCAAAAAATGGAAATAGTTCCTGTTGATTTATTTACTGAAACGTAATTAGTTCGTGCATCATTCTGGTTAATGTCCTTCAGAGTCAAAATGACTAATTTGTTCATCCGCTTCGTTTTGCTAAATTGGGTTTTTATTATTGTATTCTGTCTATTCTCCCTTTTGGAGTTGTGACAGAGCATGATTAATATAATGTTGGAGGGATAAGGACTGTCGTGACGATTGTGCGTCAATAGGGTGGCTGATCATTGAGGGTTTGTCTGAATAAGCTCGGCCCAACCATTGCTCCTTCAGCCTAGCTGACATAGATCTTTTGACATGAGGCTTGGAATGTAGGCCCAGCCTCACACTCGACCCTAACGATCTTCATTTCATTTAGGACTGTATTTTCCCCCGCCTTTGATCGAAAGAAATTTTCTCCAATCATGTCTTTAATCGACTGATTACAAGTGATTATGGACATCGCACCACACGTAAAGGGTAATATTTATATGTATAACCCACCTATGATAAGACTGGATCCGGGATGAAGGGAAAGCATGATCCTTTGAGTTGTTTTTTCTTCGTTTTTCTTTCCTTTAGACTATGTTTTTTCTCCATCTTTGGTCGGAAAAAGTTCCTCGATCAGTCTTCTAATTGCTAGCTTACAATTATGGACATTACCCACATTATGCCATGCTTTTCTCTTTAAAGTCAATTTTCTGATCGATAAGTTACTAACGCAAATATCACTCACATTTATTTTTTGACCATGTTTTCCGTCATCCTTGATTAAAGGGACCTTCTCCCAACCAAAACTTCTGATTGGGTAGATTACAAATATCCACATCATCCAACCAGGGATGGAGAGGAAATTATACCACTTTATTTTCAGTTAAATTTGCATATAAGTAATATTTATAACATAACTCAACAATAGGGGGAAGTTTCCTCCAATAGAGCTTTCTCCTGATATTAGGAATCCATTTCTACTCTAGAAAAAATGCAATCTCCTCAAAGCGTCACAATTTGCATTTACATCTTTCAAAAGCAATTGACTTGTGTGTTAACTTAGTGTTTTTGGAACAGACTTGTGTGAGCAGATTAAACACATGACATACATTCAATTCCTTTTAGCACCTTAGTGCAAACAAATTTTCGATTTGAGCGATATCCATCCAATTTTGGGTAGCGCCTGACTAGCTCAATTGGATATTGCATGAGCTCGGAATTTTGCTTACTTAAGATCACGGACATTATGAGCTCCTAACTAGATGAATAAGAAAAGGAATGATATGATGTACATTAGCAAAGTATACAAAGAGCTCCTTCACTAAATGTTTATTCAAGCTTAGTCAAATCAAGACGGCCAAACACTTAAAAAGCTACAACAGTAAATGGACTTCAAGGGCTAAGACACGTGGATTTCCATGTATATAATTATAGTCTATGGATAGATAACCTTCATGATATAAAAAGGGGCTTATCAGCAGCCACCAAATTGCTACAAAAGACATGAGTCATTCACTTTTTCTTTGGATTTTGAGAAGACGCACATGGCATATCTCCCATGCATCAGATAACGCCTACAAACCCTTTTCCCCATTCCCCTTCTCCAGGTCAATCGTCAACCACAAAAATCAAAATTTGCATACATTTAGTATTCGAAAAGATAAAAAGTTGAAAGATTGACGTACCCTTTTCACTATAGTAAGAGATAGAAAACGATTTATCGCCCGCCTATCCGACGTAAAAATCTTTCATTGACACGCACGCATTACTCCCTTTGCTTTTTTGTTAAGTAGATCTCCTAAAAGCATGAACGGTGTAACTCTTCAAAAGAAAAGAGGCAAGAAGCGAAAGGTACGTGAACCCCATTTCTATCCGAACGACCCTTTACACGACAGATAACATGCACGTCAAAAACTACGTACACATGCTTTGTCGGATTGTTAAAGAACTATCGATGTCCAGTAGTCTCGTTTCTTGATCTGTCTACGTTGACTCGTCGTTGGTTTCAATTGCTTTACACGTTAAATTCCCGTCACTTACCAGAAATTTGGATCAGCTTCTTCTGGCAGCAACAAAAGTGTAAAGGGGAAACGGCGTGATCTCACTCGGATTAGTCAAAGTTTTGTGGTTGGGTATTAAGTGTACAGTTTCTGAACCATGCGAAGTTGAAACCACCTTTTCTCGCGAATTATGAATTACATTTGTCAATCAGTTCACCAATGTTCCGCG